GTGTGTGTGTGTGTGTGTGTGTGTGTGTGTGTATAATCGCGCAATAATATTAATAACAGTAAAATAAACGAATAATTCTAGAAATAATATGTAACGAAGTCTAGAAATAATAAAATTAAAAAGTGAAAAATCAAACGAATAATTCTAGAAATAATATGTAGCGAACAAGTCTAGAAATAATAAAATTAAAAAGTAAAAAAATGAGACCAGACGCCAAGGGAATGCCCTAAAGCGCCCGGTCTGATTTCAACGTGATTTCGGCTCCTATTTATATCAGTTACATTCATATATTCTTATCATTTCAATCTTTGACATCATTAAAAAATTTTATTTAATGTATATGAAATATTATTATATGTGTTTAACAACAATATATTAACTATAATAAAATGAACTAAATTCAACGAACGTCAACGGACTTTCTGATGGGATGGTTCAAGATAGTTCCAAATCATTCATATCAATTAAAGCTTATTTCATGTGTACAAAACATTATCATACATACTTAACGACAATATTCTAACTATACTAGAAGGAAATTAAGACGCGTTACCCTACGTTCATGGTTGGCTCGTTTGGTTTTTTTGGAGTTTAATAAAATGATAATTTCTATAAAAATGACAAAAGTATTATTAAAATAGGATTAACACTTTGTTGCGAAATCGTTGGCGGAAATGACGTCATTTTAATAGTAAAAAATGTAGAAATGTACGATAGTGAATTAGCCGGTAGAAACATTACATTCGATTCCTATAAAATAAATTCTATCAAATATTACATGCACACAAATCTAAATAAATAAACAGATAGATAGATATGTGTAGTTATTAAATGTATTTATATTTTTAAATTTATACAATTGAATTATACAATTAAAGTGAAGTAAGGTGTTTGCTGTCAAATTATTTTGAATTCTCTCGGAATAATTTGAACTGCGCTCGTACAAACATATGTACATACATATGTAACACTGCTTACTGTTGTTTTTATAAGGAAGTTATATAATAAATATAAATATATATATAAAGTATTTTGAATCCATGTATACAGATAACTACTAAGATTATATGTTTAGATAAAAAGAAATATAAAAGTTCCAACCAGTCAATCAGAATGTTTCGAAGTTTGAGTGAATCTGTTGTCAAGAATGTTTTTAGGTATTACATAAAATCAAAATTCAATAACTTGAATCAATAAATTTTTTACTGATGTGAATGATTGAATTGATTGTATGTAAAATATATAAAAGAAATGAAATAAAAGAAACATATATTTTCAATTGTTAAGTGGTAAAGGAGTGATCTCGATAAAATTTGAATTCAACTAGATAATAGTGTAAACATACTCGAACCATCCCATCAGGAAGTCCGTAGGCGTTCGTTGAATTCATTTTAGTATAGTTAGTTTAGTATAGTTAATATATTGTTGTTAAACACATATAAAAATGTTTCATATACATTAAATAAAATTTTTTAATGATGTTAATGATTGAAATGATAAGAATATATGAATGGAACTGGTATAAATAGGAGCCGAAAACACGTTGAAATCAGACCGGGCGCTTTAGGGCATTCCCTTGGCGTCTGGTCTCATTTTTTTACTTTTTAATTTTATTATTTCTAGACTTGTTCGCTACATATTATTTCTAGAATTATTCGTTTGATTTTTCACTTTTTAATTTTATTATTTCTAGACTTCGTTACATATTATTTCTAGAATTATTCGTTTATTTTACTGTTATTAATATTATTGCGCGATTATACACACACACACACACACACACACACACATACACAGACAGACATACACACATACATTCGTTGTTTTGTTTGTTCGATGTTTTATCCTCTTTCTTTTTTCTTCGTAATTGTAGAAATAGGTATGTTAATTCATAAGTTGAGCTAATTGAACATAGGTAGGTGAGTTAATTTAGTGAACATAGGTAAGTTAGGGCTCTATTCTTTCTTTCTTCTGTTTTAATTTATTTGTATTGTTTTGTTTTCTTGTTTTGTGTCCAACATAACACCAACAACAACATTCAAACACAACAATCAGCACAACATTATTTTCATTACATTTTAAGTTTTGTATTTTATTTTATTTAAGTTTATTATTTCTAGACGTATTCGTTATTTTGTTTGTTACATATTATTTCTAGAATTATTCGTTTATTTTACTCATGAATTATTCGTTTATTTTACTGCGCGAGTATACACACACACACACAAACATACACACATACATAAACACATACATTCGTTGTTTTGTTTGTTTGATGTTTTATCCTCTTTCTTTCTTTTTTCTTCGTAATCGTACAAATAGGTAGGTTAATTCGTAAGTTGAGCTAATTGAACTTAGGTAGGTGAGTTAATTTAGTGAACATAGGTAAGTTAGGGACTTTATTCTTTCTTTCTTACGTTCTATTTCATTTGTATTGTATTGTTTTTTGTTCAATACAACACCAACAACAACAATCAAACACGACAATCAACACAATAAT